GCGCGGTTGCGCAAAACGAGCTTGACTTTAGCTAGGTCAGGTGGAATGCCAGACCACCCTGGTCATGAAGGTAAATCCAAAAGCTCGGCCGCTCAAGCGGACCAGATGTTAGCCCGGTCAAGCGGTCAAACCCTTTACCTACCTCGGTTCCTACAAGAGTTTTTACAAACTCGCAATTTGCTCAGTCTAGATGATTTTTGGGATCAAAAGAAGACCTGGAGCCCGATCCGCCCCAGATCTTCATGTGTTCATCACTAGAGCTGAAAAACAGCAAGGAGAACAGGGGGCATGGGAGGTTTTTGGGAGCTATATCCTAAAACCTATTACTTTTGCGCCTTAAGATGTGAAATACCGAAGGAAAAAGCAACAAAGGGGTTCAAAGAACTTACCAGAATGGGGCAGAAGTCGAATCTTCGAGCACGAATGCAGCAGAGGGCAACAATGGAGCTTGATGAGGGCACTGTGACGTTAGGTCGTCTAGAATGGAAGTGAGTCAGTAAGAAGAAAATGAAGGGGGAGTTGGCGTGTTTGTAGAGGAAAACAACTACCAAAATTCGAATATAAAAGGACGTCGGGGTTGGTTGCTTGAGACCAATAAATGATCAACACGCGTCCCTATTGACGGCGGCGTCAGTATTGAAGAGACAGGCAGGCGAGTTGAGGCGTCGACCGGGCAAGTCTAGAAACCGAGCATGTCGACTAGCGTGGTATACAACTTGTGGAGGAAAGACCGGCGGGAAATGTACCCCGGTTAGGTCACATAATCCCAATCACGCTTTTGCGCGGACGGAATTAAGGGGCAATTGAGAGGGAGATTTACGAGCTGGAATGGTCCATGGTAAAGGCCGGGCAAATTGAGGGCCGAGCGTGTTTGGGCCGTGATAGCTTGGGCCTATCCGGAGATGGTTCTGCTCGGTTGAGGCCCAGGGCCATGTTGGGACCGAGCTACTTGGGCTTGTCCATGTGGGGACCGAGCTACTTGAGTTACTCGGCCGAGATGATCCCTGCTATTCGGGATTCCACGGTTTGTGCATTTAGCTCGGCAAGAAGGGCTTCGGTTTACCAACTCGACCTATCTTGAGCTCGGTTATGCCGGAATGTAACCGAGCACAGTCGTTATGGAGCTCGACGAGTGGAGTACTCGGACTCGTTATCTAACACGGTTGTGTAAGGCCGAGGTGATGCCGTTGGGCTGCCGAGCTCCCACTAATGTAGTCTGCCGATTTGGTTAGGTGGTGATTGCGGGATTTGTACTGACAGATGGGAGAGTAGCTCTACGTGTCAAGAGGCTAATGGGAGCAGATTTGAGCGCTGAAAGTATATAAGCATGACTGCGCCCCCCATGCTGGGCATGGAACATCATTTGGTGAGATAGACTTACATTCATTGAGTTTTTCTCTCTCTCTCTCTCTGAGTGTGTGCTAACTTGACCGTCGGAGGGGTTTCCGGCAACACACCGCCGGGTAGTTTACCGCCGTTGTGCTTTCAGGTTGATCGGATAGACACGGAGCTTGGACGAAAGGAGTACGGACAGCGACGAATATTTGCTCTCCGTACAGGGTGATTAATTGTGCGAAAAATACAACAGTCATTGTTGTTGTTGGCACCATAAAATATTCTTATTATTATTAGTAGTAGTAGTATTATTATTGTTATTATTTTCAGGACACGTAACATCCTTTTATTCATTTGGAAGTTAAAAAAATTATGGAAATGATGAAGAACATGAAGGACAGAGTGTATAAGTGGAAAAACAAGTGGCAATACAATGATGAAGATGGGAGAAATGGATAGTTACTAAGTAGTTATTGCTATATTTTTTCCTCTATAAATAGTCATTAATGGCTACATTGTAAAGGAATCAGAACTCAAATAAAAGACAATTAATTTCTTCTTTTTTTTATCATTTATATTTCCTCGTCATCTATATTTCCTGCACTTTATTTTCAGCATTTCCTTTTCAAACCATTTTATACACTTCCTTTTCAAAGTATAGGAGTAGAGATAAGTAATTGTTATTTTGATTGTTCACTCAATCACCTCAATTATTCACTCAATCATCTTTCTCCGTCTCCCTCATTCTTCTGTTAATTTTTCATTTTTTTACACTTGGCAATTTTAAAATTCTCTTCATTAAGGCAAAAAAACCGTAAACACAATCGCTTGATAATTGACTTGAATTTAATCTGTAAGGATTTTTCAATCCTTGTTGGCACACTCGCATTTATGATATTTTCCTTCGTAAGAAAAATAAGTCAACAATTTTTGGCACGCTCGGTGGGACGTCAAGTGTAAAAAATAAAAAATAAGTTGGATTCGTCTATTCTAAATAGCCTAGATGAAATTTTTTGACGTAAACAGAAAAATTTGGATCTTCAAGAAGAGATCCATTTTCTTAATGAAACAAACTTCCATCCATTACAATATTGTTTGGTAGAAGAAAAAATACACCATTTAATTGGAGTAATTCATCAACTTGATATGAAAATTTGCCAATGAAGATATGAGTTATCAATCCTTCTTGTCAAGTCTTCAATAACTGAATTTTGTAGGGTTTTACAAAATGTTTTCAAGTCATTTGTGACTAAAATTAGTGAAAATATAATTTCAATGGCTTGGGATGGTTCAAGAACCCGTTTTTAAAAAGCTAAATTATGAAATTAACATAACGAAAGAGCATGTTCTTGAGCCAAATTTAGCTAAGAATGATATTCCATGCATGGCTCCGGGGGATCCAAAAATCAATTTTTAGAGAATTAAGTCATGAAAATAACATACCTATGGGGGATTTTCATAAGCCATTAATGGCTAACATGGAAAAACAGTTCACTTTGTCAAATAATTATGAAAATCAATTCGGCGAAAGTCATGTTTTTAAACCAAACATGGTCAAGAATAATGAACAAACCACTATTCATGAATTCAAAATGTTTGACATTTTTCAAAGTGTCAAAAAGTTTGAATTTTCATGGTCACACTATACCATGACTTTGGCTGTTCAAAATCCATTTTGAATTTGTGGTTTACATCAAAATTTGATTTTGATGGAGTGGCTAATAAAAAATATTTTGTTATTACAATATATTGGATCAAAATTATGGTTATTAATTGATCCATAAGACCATCACCATTTGGTTTTATGGTTACCTTTGAAGCTTCTATCACATTCCACGAAGCACAAAATATGTGTTTGTTTTTTATTGGTTTCAAGTTTATTGAATGAAGTTTACAAATTTAAAAAGCTTGGCCAGATGTGCTTGAATAATGGGGCCACCATTCTTGGCTTCTGTCAACAAATATAATATTAAATGTGACCTTTTGTTTATCTCTTAGTTAATTGGTTAATTTTTGTGACAATCATTAATTCTTTCTGGGGAAGTTCAAGTGTTGGACTTTGTTAAGTCTTAGGGAAATATATGCATCATGTATGGTGATAGTAGAGAACACAATTAGCCATATCAGTTGCACATCCAAGTTGTGTACTTTTTTTCTTTTTTTTTTTGGGTTGTGACCACCAGTTATGCTACTTTGAATGATCAATACAACTACTTCAAAGGTTTTGTTCATCAACCATTGTTTGCTTCAAAGACCCTCTAAATCGTTAATTTTGTTCATTAATTGGATGTCTTCTTTAGCTTTGCTTCAAAGACGATTTGTTCGGATATTTGGTGAGATCTATTCCTCTTATTGTTGTGATTAATTCAAATTCACCTAAAAGTGTTAATGAGATTTTCATGTTTCTTCGTAATTTGTTTAACCAAACTAGTAATAGTGGAATCAGATTTGTCTCATGGATGTATCTCAAATTTGAGGAAACCATGTAAATCAAAACCAACTTTTGGTTTGACAAAAATACATGTGAAGATTAAAAATAAAAAAAAAAACCGATTATTGATTTAGCAAAAATATATTCACAAATATTATGTGGATTCATTACGTGTGGTGTATATTCATATAGACTTGGAGTTGATACAAAGTAGTGTGTCACTATTGTTGTTACCATTAGTAGCTTCGAAGAGATTTTTGCTTCATTACCATCAGCTTCGAAGTATGGATTTGCTTCCTCTCTGTTACTTCGAAGGTGTTTTACGATTACTCCGAAGGTTCCTGGCATCATTAGTTTGGTCCTTTGGTTCAATCGTTTTGCTTCAAAGGTTGTTTGGATGATTGTGATTACCTGCTTTCGAAACTCTACAAGCACTACAAGAATTTTCACTTCTGGCGACTAAAAATTTAGTCGCCAAAAATCATATTTTTGTTGCCTATAGTCTTTTACGACTAAATTTTTTAGTCGGAAAATTAATAGCCAACGAGTAGTCGGGAAATATAATTGCCGACTAAACTTAATTTGGTCGCCAAATGTATTCATTTGACGACTAAATATTTAGTCGCCAATAGGTTTAAAAATTAATTAAATAAATACATTTTTGCTGACCAATTTTTTTGTCGCCAAAAGCCAATTATTTAGTGGCCGAAATATTTTTAGCTACTAAATTTTTTAGTTGCCAAAAGCAAATACTAGTGTTTTGGCTACTAAAATTTTAGTCGCCAAATACTATTTCTTTTGCCTACTAAAAATTTAGTCGCCTAAACTATGACATTTTTGGCTACTAAATTTTTAGTCACCAAATGTTTGATTTTCTTTTGGCTACAAAACTTTTAGTAGCCAAAAGTTTGATTTTCTTTTGACTACAAAACATTTAGTAGCCAAATGATTGTTTTTCTTTTGCCTACAAAAAATTTAGTAGCCAAATGTTTGATTTGTTTTTTGCTACAAAACTTTTAGTAACCAAATGTTTAATTTGTTTTTAGCTACAAAACTTTAGTAATCAAATGTTTGTTTTGTTTGTTTTTTTTTTTTTTTTCCTCTTTTTATTGGCTACAAAACGTTTAGTCGGCAAAAACATAATATTATGTTTTATTACTAATATTATAATGTGTCCATAACCTGTCTGTATTCCACTCAACTTGGAATATATATATAAATAAAATGATACATAAATTATCAATCATTGCACAATCTGCATTCGTATACAAAAAATAAATTACTTTAACTGTCCAAGCACATACAACCGAACTATTGTCCAAACTAAAATAATAATTCCATACAACATATTCAATCATACAAAAAGCAAAGCCCTCCATATACAAAAATTACATTTACTATACCATGTAAAATGACCATTTGGCATGGTACAAATTACCATCGTAATTTATACCACGACAAAAGGTGATATATGTACCAAGCCAAAAATTTATTTATGTACCACGACAAAAAATCAATTTAGGGGACGGCGTCAAAAGGTGATCTATCTACCATGCCAATAATTATCTGTTCGCTGCCAATAGTTTTCTGTATCAGGAATAGTTAACTGCATAAAAGCTGGAGACGACAAAAGTACAATTTCTTCTCCATACACCAAAATATCTCTGCAAGTTCACGCAACGAAGTCATCTACAAAAAACAAAAAAAAATTAGAATTGGACCAAAAAATGCCCAACTTCATGAATGAATTTGGAAACAAGTGACAAATAAAAATAAATGTGAAGCAACCTTCCATGATGAATCAATTATCAGTCATTGTACAGTCTGTCTAAAGTCAGTTGTTATAAGGAACATTGTTAAATGCAAAACAATCATTACTAAATTTTTTATTAGTAACATACAACGAATGTAACAATCTTCTATTTGTATGCAACATGTATACCAAATTCTGTAGCTAAACCAATATCAAAGCCCAATGTGAATAGAAAGTAATTCACTTTGCTTGATTCCCATTTTTTAAAAACGATTTTCTGAAAATTCTACACTCTTATTTTTCGTATTTTTTTGTTTTTACTGAATTTTTTTAATATTTTATGCAAATTTTTTACTTTTTAGACACACCTAACATAAATACACCTAAAAAGTTAAAAAATTGTAAAAAAATTCTTTTAAAAATTCACTAAATACCAAAAATACAAAAAAATACAAGAATTTAGTACATTTTTTGTATTTTTATGTATTCTTAATTTTTTAAAATATTTTTTCACAATTTTTTTACTTTTTAGACACATCTAAGTAAGGTGCATCTAAAAAAATAAAAAAAAATGTTTAAAATTTTAAAAATATTCACTAAAAACAAAAAAACACGAAAATCAAAAAACTCAGTTTTTAAAAAACTTAATCCAGAAAACTCAAACCAAACACAGTGATTCTTTTTACCAAGTTCCTCATTATTTATTTGCAAAAGGCACTTGAATCATTAGATTGGATATAAAACCATCGGTGCTTATTAATGTATGTCAATGCCATTTCAGAGAGGATATTAGAACATGTGATAAAAATAATAACACGTGTGTACGTTCACAAAATTAGCAAGTTTAAAACATTCCGTCAGTTGTCACAAGTCCTATTGTAATGGGAAAGTTGCCCGTGAGAGTCAGATAGAGGTTCGCCCCCGAAACGCCCTTTTTCGACTAAGTTTTGGGCATATTCGTCTCTAAATCCCAACCTATAGGTCCGAATAACATTCCGTCAGTTGTCACAAGTCATATTTGGCATGGGGAAACTGTTCGTTTCGGCCACACGGAGGTTCGGGAGCTGTTTTGAATTTTCGCCCCCGAAACGCCCTTTTTCGACTAAGTTTTGGGCGTATTCGGCTCTAAATCCCAACCTATAAGTCCGAATAACATTCCGTCAATTGTCACAAGTCATATTTGGCATGGGGAAGTTGCCCATGTCCGCCACACAGAGGTTCGGGGGCTGTTTTGAATTTTCACCCCCGAAATGCCCTTTTTCGACTAAGTTTTGGGTGTATTCGGCTCTAAATCCCAACCTATAGGTCCGAATAACATTCCATCAGTTGTCACAAGTCATATTTGGCATGGGGAAGCTGCCCGTGTTGGCCACACGGAGGTTCGGGGGCTGTTTTGAATTTTTGCCCCCAAAACGCCTTTTTTAAACTAAGTTTTGGACATATTCGGCTCTAAATCCCAACTTATAAGTCCGAATAACATTCCGTCAGTTGGCACAAGTCCTATTTGGTATGGGGAAGCTGCCCGTGTCGGTTACACGGAGGTTCGGGGGCTGTTTTGAATTTTCGCCCGTGAAACTCCCTTTTTCGACTACGTTTTGGGCGTATTCGTCTCTAAATCCCAACCTACAAGTCCGAATAACATTCCGTCAGTTGTCACAAGTCCTATTTGGCATGGGAAAGTTGCCCGTGTCGGCCAAATGGAGGTTCGGGGGCTGTTTTAAATTTTCGCCCCTAAAATGCCCTTTTTGGACTAAGTTTTAGGCATATTCGGCTCTAAATCCCAACCTATAGGTCCGAATAGCATTCTGTCAGTTGTCACAAGTCATATTTGGCATGGGGAAGTTGCCCGTGTCGGCAACAAGAAGGTTCGGGGGCTGTTTTGAATTTTCGCCCCTGAAACTCCCTTTTTCGACTACGTTTTGGGCGTATTCGTCTCTAAATCCCAACCTACGAGTCCAAACAACATTCCGTCAATTGTCACAAGTCCTATTTGGCATGGGAAAGTTGCCCGTGTCAGTCAAATGGAGGTTCGGGTGCTGTTTTAAATTTTCGCCCCTCGAAACGCCCTTTTTTGACTAAGTTTTGGACGTATTTGGCTCTAAATCCCAACCTATAGGTCCGAATAGCATTCTGTCAGTTGTCACAAGTCATATTTGGCATAGGGAAGCGGCCCGTGTGGGCCACACGAAGGTTCGGGGGCTGTTTTGAATTTTTGCCCCTGAAACTCCCTTTTTCGACTACGTTTTGGACGTATTCGGCTCTAAATCCCAACCTACGAGTCCGAATAACATTTAGTCAGTTGTCACAAGTCCTATTTGGCATGGGAAAGTTGCCCGTGTCGGCCAAATGGAGGTTCGGGGGCTGTTTTAAATTTTTGTCCCCGAAATGCCCTTTTTCGACTAAGTTTTGGGCGTATTCGGCTCTAAATCCCAACCTATAGGTCCGAATAGCATTCTGTCAGTTGTCACAAGTCATATTTGGCATGGGGAAGCTGCCTGTGTCGGCCACACGGAGGTTTGGGGGCTGTTTTGAATTTTCGCCCCCGAAACGCCCTTTTTCGACTAAGTTTTGGGCGTATTCGTCTTTAAATCCCAACTTACGGGTCCGAATAACATTCCGTCAGTTGTCACAAGTCCTATTTGGCATGGGGAAGCTGCCCATGTCAGCCAAACGGAGGTTCGGGGGCTGTTTTGAATTTTCGCTCCTGAAACACCCTTTTTCGACTAAGTTTTGGGCGTATTCGGCTCTAAATCTCAACCTATAGGTCCGAATAACATTCTATCAGTTGTCACAAGTCATATTTGGCATGGGGAAACTGTTCGTTTCGGCCACACGGAGGTTCGGGGGCTGTTTTGAATTTTTGCCCCCAAAATGTCATTTTTCGACTAAGTTTTGGGTGTATTCGGCTCTAAATCCCAACCTATAGGTCCGAATAACATTCTGTCAATTGTCACAAGTCCTATTTGGCATGGGGAAGCTGCCCGTGTTGGCCACACGGAGGTTCGGGGGCTGTTTTGAATTTTCGCCCCCGAAATTCCCTTTTTCGACTACGTTTTGGGTGTATTCATCTCTAAATCCCAACCTACGGATCCGAATAACATTTCGTCAGTTGTCACAAGTCCTATTTGGCATGGGGAAGTTGCCCGTGTTGGCCAAACGGAGGTTCGGGGGCTGTTTTGAATTTTCGCCCCCGAAATGCTCTTTTTCGACTAAATTTTGGGCGTATTCGGCTTTAAATCCCAACCTATAGGTCCAAATAACATTCTGTCAGTTGTCATAAGTCCTATTTGGCATGGGGAAGCTGCCCGTGTCAGCCACACAGAGGTTCGGGGGTTGTTTTGAATTTTTGCCCCCAAAACGCCATTTTTCGACTAAGTTTTGGGCATATTCGTTTCTAAATCCCAACCTATAGGTCCGAATAACATTCCGTCAGTTGTCACAAGTCATATTTGGCATGGGGAAACTGTTCGTTTCGGCCACACGGAAGTTCGGGAGCTGTTTTGCATTTTCGCCCCCGAAATGCCCTTTTTCAACCAAGTTTTCGCCCCAGAAGATTGCTTAATGTATTACAATTGCAAATCTAAAAAAAAGGACTATCTGTATGTCCTTGATTTTGTAGTAAGATTGAGACTCCCTTAAGTTATTTAAATGATCCTCCTGAGTATCCACCTTCTCCAACTCACTTTTGCCAATCAAATAGAACAATGCCAAGAGAATCACATGGACTTCACATTACAAGCCTACATGTCCTAAATGGAAGGCTGCAAAACCCACCACAAGACACATCCACAACACAATGGATTTGCCACAGCTGTATAATACAGATTAAAAATGCATTGTGTTGCAGTAAATTCCAAGGCAAGATTCTTAAAAACTCACAGCGTTTCCCCACTCCAATTACCACTTGAAGAACCAAAAACCACCTTAATGGATGATGATACTTTAAAACAAAATATTAAAGACCACTTCATTGAACCCGGAAAACTTCATATCCTACTACAGTAAATAGAGAAAGTTAAAGCAACTGGAAAACTACCATTACAACAGTATTGCTAAAACGTTCTAGAACCAACAATGATGTGAGGTCCAACCAGAGTTCTTCTAAAACTACAAAGATCTCATGCAAATTTACTCTTGACTTAACAACATAGTATCAGTACTCACATATCAACATATCAAGGTGATTCAAAATGATGTTAACTACAGATTCTCGCCTAATGTAGCTTACTTAGGGCCTCACAAGGTTGGCCATCAAAAAATCCAACCAAGAAAAAAATATTCAAATCACTCTTTCATTAAGCAGTAACCACAGTAAGACATTGTGCTATTGTTAGTGAACAGATTAGGTCTGTTGTAAGCTTAGCCAGCTTGTCATCTCCCAGATTAAGTGAGATGGGTTATTATCGTTGTGGATGTTGTTTTTTCAGAGGGGATTCCCTTCCTGTAATGTAACTATTGGCTATGTTTTAATACTCAAAACATTTCCTTTCATGATTTAAGTTGCAAAAAATTATGAAAAAGAGCAGTTCAAATCAATGTTTTAGATGAAAAAAATGCCCCTAAGATATATCAGTTCTCTAAACAAATATCTGGTCCGTTTAGCCTATGTCAATGAACTTGCAGCTGTGCTTGAATTTTTCTTTTCTTTCTTTCTTTGTGTGTGTGTGTGTGTGTGTGTGTAAAAGTAACAACATCAGAATAAAGGGGTTTTCTACCAAAATATGCTACACCTGTAGGCAACACCATTTCATTTAAGGAAAAACAGAAATAACTGACAGTTTATACAGTATATGCACACAGGGACACTACTTCCAACAAGGTTTCTAAAGTAACTATCACAACCCAGATAACATCAATGGAAGCTTACCAGAAACAAATAAACAAAAACTTGCATTGCACACACCCAATCCTTACCAGACAAACTAATTTTGACCACACAGGCTATTTAGTTAAACTCAGCAGCCATCTCCTTTTGCTTCAACTCCAATGCCATATGCTCGTTCTCAAGTTTCATCCTCTCGTTTTCCATCCTCATCATTTCCAACTCCCGGTCTTTTTTCCTGCAAAATCTCTGCCACTTGAACCTCTCTTTCTCCAATTCCAACATTTGTGCCTGAATCTGTAACTTCTGTTCTTCCAACTGAAGTGAGCGATGTTTCATCCACTGCCTTTGCAACAGGTTTGCTTTCACACCTTCGGGTAACCCTTCATTCGTATCACCCTGAACATTTTGTGGGTGAGAACTGAAAGTTTTGTTACAGTCTAAAGCAGTGAAGGAACTCCCTAAAGTAATATCTTCTTGACCCTGGCATGGTTTCATTCTCTTTGCAGAGCCCCAAACCCCATACATTGCTCTACGATCCCCATGCCACCGGCGGGCGGCAGCCTCGCCTTGGCCGCCCGCCGGACCTCTACACATACCCAGACTATAACTTCATCTTCCTCTCTCTTACCTCTCGGCTCTCTCAGACCATGACAGCCATCTCTCTCTCTCTAGAGACTCTGGAACACTCCCTCTTGTTGTCTCAAAATCCACTGATAGAGTTTTTCCAGTCCATGGCGTTCACCAGTTTGAGAGCGAGTTCGCAGCGCTACAAAACGTCGAATACATCGTTCGATCGACCTCGTCAGGCTCGTCGCCACAGACTTCCTCTTCTTCCCCGCCGAAGGGGCGGGCGATAAGGTTGGCCATCACGATCTCCGCCACCGTCAACATGGCTCTCTAGAGACTCTGGAACACTCCCTCTTGTTGTCTCAAAATCCACTGATAGAGTTTTTTCAGTCCATGGCGTTCACCAGTTTGAGAGCGAGTTCGCAGCGCTACAAAACGTCGAATACATCGTTCGATCGACCTCGTCAGGCTCGTCGCCACAGATTTCCTCTTCTTCCCCGCCGAAGGGGCGGGCGATGAGGTTGGCCATCACGATCTCCGCCACCGTCAACATGGGTCGTATGCACAGTCGTGGTAAGGGTATATCAGCTTCAGCTCTACCGTATGCACAGTCGTGGTAAGGGTATATCAGCTTCAGCTCTACCATACAAGAGGACCCCACCAAGTTGGTTGAAGATCTCTTCTCAGGATGTTGAGGATAACATCTGCAAGTTTGCTAAGAAAGGCATGACCCCACCACTTTCTCTCTTTTTTTCTCTCTAACCAAACAGACGCTCTCTAAAAAAACCCAGTTGTACTGTTCACTGAGATATGGCTCTCGAAGCTCTGAATTCTCCAACTACGGCCTTCGACGACATGGATATCCACTCTCTCGAGCCATGGATGAAGAGGAAGCGATCCAAGCGTCCTCGCACCGAAAACCCACCAACCGAAGAAGAGTACTTAGCCCCGTGCCTTACAGCATCCTCCGCCTCGGCTTCCTCACAGACAACACAGAACCTCCACCTTTCTTTTTATTATTTTATTTCATCTATCAATTCACCCACCTTCCGCCTCGGCTTCCTCACAGACAACAAAGAACCTCCACCTTTCTTTTTATTATTTTATTTCATCTTTCAATTCACCCACCTTTCTTTTTATTATTTTATTTCATCTTTCAATTCACGACAACAAAGAACCTCCACCTTTCTTTATATTATTTTATTTCATCTTTCAATTCAAACCCATTTTCCTTTTTCTTCTTTTATTTCTTTCTTCTTTCTCTTCATCCAACTATCCACCAACTTTTGTCCCCCTCTTTTCCTTTCTTTTATTTTATTGTTTTGTATAATAATGAAACATTGATAAAATAAAAAAATAAAAAAATAAAAAAATAAAAAACAAAAAAAACAAAAAAAAAAAAAAAAAAAACAAAAAACTC